TTAACCATTCAACGACTGGGTCGGTTTTCCAGTGGTTCACAATTTCCAACTTCTGTCAATTTACGACATAGCGTGACTATCACCCAAGGTTTTCAGTTAGCATTCGCTTCATTTACGACTGGTTGACTCCAAAGGTCACGGCTTCTCATTAGAGCTTCGTGATATCCATCTGGAAGCCAGTCACTAATGAGCACTATACAGCAATGTATTTTTGAGATGAATGGGGATTTTTAATTTAGAAGTAGTATTCATCATGGACTGACATCAGTTGGGGAACCATTGAAAATCTGGGAGCAGTGGACAGCTGTTTCGTCCTAGTATGAGAAGCCGTGACACAGCCGAGTACACAGCGATAAGGTATTATTTACTTGACGTTTCGAGCACAAATTATTCCTTATAATCATGTCAATGTAATCACACTCCCGTCGATATCTGTTTTTTATTGTCCTGTCACCTCTTATTCCATGTTTTTACTGGTAGTAAAGTTTTCCATATCTCTGGTATAGGTGTTGGATCAGTCCCACTGCATGTTTTGGCTGGGTGTAGACTCGATGAACAAAGATTCAGTAATCAATCTCTCTCTCCATGTAACTACATTGTTACATGGAAAGAGAGATTGATTACTGAATCTTTTTTCATCGAATCTACACCCAGCCGAAACATGCAGTGAGTACAGTAGTTTTGTCCCAACCTATTGCGTGGTTGTGTGTGAATGCATTCATTGCAATAGCCAAGTGTTTTTCTAGATTATTAATCTTATTGAGATCTGTCATTCTATATTTAGCTGAATTCTCATGTTCCGCTGGTTTAACTGACCCCGATCGGCTAGTTTGACCTAGGTACTTGACCTCAGCCATTGCATGGAAGTTGCTTAATTGGTTAATTGGATCTATCGGATCCTTAAGTCAGCCGAAAAAGCTTATCTCTGAGTGTGTTTGTAGGTTTAAATATCATCTTAATTCCAGCTTTGTTGAGAATCCTACGTAAAGTTTCTGATGTGCCTTCCTTATACGGTAACACAATTTCCTAGCATAGTTCATAACTCAACTCACTACACAACGATAGTTTTACATATGAAGTTGTGATTCAGTCTCTTAGGGTATAAATTGGTTTAACTTAGGCAGGTCAGCTGCATTACATACGATAACCATGAGCATATACAAAATATTGCTGAGTTTTAAGGTTAGTTTCTAACCTCGAACAATGGGAGCATAACTTTAAATTCAAAAGCTGGCCACCTGGAAATTCGACTCATATGGAACGATAAATTGGGAAAATAGGCCTAAATAATTAACACTATATTTTGATCTGCATATACAAAACTATCGACTTTGATTAGGTATATACAAAAAAGTATGATAAAATAAAATTTTGACAGCTACTCTACATCATTAATATGTTATTATAAGATAGGATACGCTTTGAAAACTACGTGCACAAGCAGATACAGAGTTCAGAGTTGATCAGGTAGTAGTATACACGTTTTACTTTGATCACAATGGCAGTGTGAATTAGCAGAAAAGAAGAATAATAATGCCAGTAATAAGACACACAGACATAGATGCATCTTCACAGAAAGATTATACACCCAGAGAATGTATGTACTGACACCGATTCCCCAGCACGTGCACATACACAATACAAACAGATGAAGATATGGCCGTCTATTTATAGCTATGAGCTTTAAACACTAACCGATGACAAATATGTAGGCACGTAGACAAGATATTACAGAACCAACAACAACAAAACACCTATGGTAAATAATAAGGTCACAGAAAAGTGAATTAGAGCGAAAGAAAGTGAAGTGTTGAATTCTTTCAGTATTGTTAGTACGTCTATGCATATATTTCGTATATCGATTAACCGCTTCACCGAACACACATAAGGTTCAATTGATTACTTTATTAATTACATAGCAGTAGTAACCTTACCACATGAATACCAAGAGAACATGGTTGTATGAAAAAACTACACGCTTACACACATATCGGTACTTAAATACAACAGAATAAAAAGTTGAAAATATCTTAGCAAAACATTGTGTTATCTAGTACGTGTGAAGAACCAGACATCCAAAACCACTTGCAACACATAAATGGGTAGATTTCGTTAGTACAAAGATTATCCCCTTGATGATCAAAACTTTTCACATAGAAAGACAGCGAACACCACCATCAAATAACAATCGCTCGTCTGTAGCTCACTAATTAGCTAGACAGTGGGGACATACACCCGTACTCCGGCAACAAGGGACAGTAAATACGTTATACAGTGAAAAATGAAACGGACTATTTTCGAAGGCTAAAGAGCATAAGTAACCTTAAAAGTCTGCATGTGTCGGATACATACCAACGTTTTATACACCAGTTATTCACTATCAACGTGGAACAGCAAAATTATAGGGTAAAGGCACAATCTCAAAACAAAAGAAGTCCTAATATAACAAGCGAAAACTAAAGAAGCAAGTGGTCAGTAGCAGCAAAATAGTGAAAAGAAAGCGAGAACCAAAGAAACAGTTAGGCAAAACATATGACTTTAAAACACAGGCATAGTGGTAGACTGCAACTGCATATAAGATATAATATATAATAAAAGAAATTATCACGAACATTCAAATAGCAATAAATAACTGATACATATGGGACACAGCGCTTTGTCACATACAGTCTTTAACCACTCATTCCTGTCATCATGCACACAACGATTCAGAAGTCTACATCACCCTATACGGATCACATCAACAATCAAATATTTCATCACCTGATGTCATGTTTTAGTCTCACCATTCCTAACCTTTCTACAATCTATAACTACTTCACCTAACACTGAGCAACGGAGTAGATAGTAACTAGGACTGTGTATCACATGACCCAGACACCTCAGTCAATCTAGGTTTACACTCTCATCAATTGAATCTCCTCATACGCCAGACCCCTACCTTACCAACTTGCTGACACGCGACAAACGGCCTACACTACGAAGGAAATGGTGGTCAAACATTTCAAGCCTTCTCATGTCCTCCACCAGTAATGGCCATGTTTAACACCCACAAAGTAGATAACAGAGAGGAGAGCAGCACCTCAACGTCAAGCGACGCTAAAAATAGTCTTGCAAAAATAGTTAACTATGTCCGGTCAACACCAAACATGCGTGTGTCTCAGAAGAAGCGGCAACCACTCACCAACCATCAACTGGTTTTATTCATGGACACCATTGACGTCAGTGGATGTCACGACAGAAAATCTCTGAAGTTTGAAATAAACAGAATTAGATGGTTGTCTGAACACAAATTTATCAGGTGATCACTGTCATCCGTTCGTCCTACTGGGATTCGGAAAGTCAGTTTACGCATTGATTTCACCCACTATGGCAATCATACATGAACGTTTGGTTTTCAGTAGAAGGCTAGACAGCTTTTGGTAGAACTAGCTTTACTTCATCCAAAATACAGTCACTGGGTGCGTAAGGAGATTACATAGAGAAAACAACGAGTTGCACTTCTGCTGATAGTTCTTACTGCACCGTCCAGTTAAACAGCAAACAACTGACTGTCAAGCAGTACATTTTCCATCTAAGGACTTAATGGTATGCCTACATCTGGAGGACAACAAGAATTAGGTGTTGAATCTCCAGAAAATCGAAGAGTGGGTTTTGTAGATTCACCATAATGGCTGGGTGAGCTTAAGTGAATAACCCGGTAACAATCTACGCTACAAAGATAACTGCTTTTTGTCTTGCCACTATTCTGCAGACCTTTCTGATATCGTAAGACCTCAAGGGAACAAGTGCTGCCACATGGAAAGCTTTTTGGATCATTATCATTTGCTCAGAAACGCTTTCAGTCGGCAATTTAAAGGGGGTTGGGAATTAAGATCCTAGGTTGCGTTGCTGGTCTAAAGCCACTGATTCATGAAAATTGTAAAACTCTACCCTGGGAGCTGTGATATACTGTTTGTTATTATTAGTAGTAGTCCCTTGGGTTCCTAATGGAACATAGGGATTCAGTAGCACATCTCCAGTGAACTCTGTTCTCCGAAATCTTTTGAACCTGGTCCCACGACAGCCCACAAGCTCTCATTTCCTCCTCACACGATCTCCTCCATGTCACCCTCACCTCGGATGCCCAACTCGTCGCTCCCCATGGGGATTCCACTCGAGGGCCTGACCTGGCGAGTGATGTCCCCAGTCGGCTTTCTGAGTGTATGCCCAATGGAGTGCAGGAGATCTCCATACTGGTTTCAGGCTAATGAACACCTGTCTTGCTTTTCCGATTCTGACTTTGACATCCTCGTCTGTGCCGCCTGTAGTTGAAACAGTGCTTCCTAGATAGGTGAAGGAGGTTACTTCCTTTAAGTTTCTCCCGTTGATGGTGACTGGAGTTTGTTGTTGTTGGCGGTGGTGCGGTATCTTCATCACTTCTGTCTTCTCTATATTTACCTGAAGTCCCGTCTTCGCTGCCTCTTCTGCCAACTTGTTAGTTTTCGCCTATATGTCTTCAAGTTTGTGTGACACCAGGCACAAGTCATCGGCGAAATTCAGATCTTCTAGGTTCTTTTCCGCATAATGATCTTCGATTGCACAATGCTTCATCACAAACTAACTACATCTCAGCTCTTACAGCAAATACCTATGTTCTTTAATAGTGCTCAGCAATGAGATAACAAATAAATATATTTAGGCCAAAAGGTGGTTTCACTAACTGAATAAAAACCCTCGTTATGCTGCCACCGAATGCTGATAAAGTTACAGAGGGGATGAAACAATATACAGAATATTCTCCGACCCCGAAAAGTCTGCAAAGTGTATAGCAATAATATTGGCAGTAAGCCTTTTAACTAATAATAAAAATCCACCTGAACTATCCAGAACAGATTTCATACGTCATCCATATTTCTTATGATACTGTCCTGTTTTTTAGGCTGAAGTGGAGTTGGGTTTGAACCCAAAAGCTATTACTTAGAAGAATATAAAGTTATCATGCACACACTGAGACTTACCACTTTCAACAGAAGTGCGTGGGGATGGTGTAAAAGGACATAAGTCTGAGGACTGCTGCTCATTTTGATGATGGGTTTGTTGCTCTTGGAAATGCAGTTCACGCCTTTCAAGTTGATGGGGATTATTAACAAGTGAAATGGATGGTTTATCGACACCAGACAAACGACTGAAAGTCGAGGCTCGCTTATCACGTGCACGTTGGTTTTGAAACCATACTTGAACAACACGTACAGGTACACCCAACTCAGAAGCTAAAGTTTCTCGCATCTATAGTTAAAATACAACAAGAAATGAATTAATCAGTCTAGGATGAAAAAGGGATTAAATGAAAACTACAAAGTATATGTGTGAACGATGTGAGTAACAAGAAATCGATAATGAGTGGTGATTGAAGGCCAAGTGAAAATTTGGACAGCGGCCGGATTGGAAACAGCGACCACCGGGTTTCCGGTCTGAATCTGGCTGTGGTCCAAATTTTCATCTCATCTTCAAACCACGGCTATCTCATAGTCAAAATGATAATAAATCATCCACATTAAACCGGTTTCCATAGATACGTAAAAATTATGTCTGTAAAACCTGCTGAATGGTTAATCCTAAGCACCTAAACTTATCAGTGATATTTTGTCAGTTAATCGCACATCTATTATAGATCAAAACCTGCGGTATTGATCAAGTAGTTTATCAAAGCGAATATAGTTCACATCACCGTTGAATGATTGAAAGCAAATGAACCGTGGGAAATGAAAAATTTATGAATGACTACCAAACAGTCTAAAAAAAACTATAAGGTGTCTGAATTAAATGAGATGAAAGGTGGTAGTAGAGTCGCCTACAGATGTTTAGTGCTGGTTGGGAGACATAAACTTAAAAGAACTCAATCTCCATCTCAAACTTATACATGGATCGTAGCAAATGAAGATAGACGGATATTAAGTAACTCTTAGTATACTCGTGTGGAATATGAACGTAACAAAACGCACTCAGCAACTTTGTGCAGTTACGTGCAGTAGGTGATGAGCTACAACTATTGCGTAAGGGTTAATAATACTACTTGGGTGCTTAAACCTCGGTAGGTGGAGTGGTGTTTGCACCCATGGCCCACTGGTTGAAATCTATCTCCTAAAACCACTGAGCCATAGCCCCAACCTTGTATGGAGTGCCATAAGTTACATAAGCCAGTAGGATTGATTTCTGCCTGCTTGACTTCTCAATAACACAAGAATAAAATATTACGATGAATTACAAAGGAGGGCGGAAACAAGAAGGAAAATGAGTAGCAAAGTGTTCCAGAATCTAATTGAAAAAGTAAATATATTTACATAGTTGTGACCGGGTTACTATTATACTAGTTAAAATTACCAATCATCGATTTTCCGCTAAGTACAACAATCCTTTATTTCTCAACTAGGCATCAGTGAATATCATCGTTGAAGATGAAAAAATATGTCTAAATCACTTGATTTTTCTAGAAATGGTATTTTAGAGATTTTCAATGCAATCAGCATCTTTGTTTACATTTTTTTATGCGATTTCAGTAATTCACAATGGCGGGGTCATGGGTGCGCACTGCTGAGGAGTCTCATACTAGGACGAAACAGCAGTCCAGTGCTCCCAGGTTTCCAATGTTCCTCCAAATGACGTCACAGCCCATGATGAATACTAGCTTGGAACCACTAAATTCCTACAAATATCCAAATTAAATTGATCTAGGGCTCATTGGTGGCTAGCTTCGAGAGATGGCTTTTGAATTTTCAATGAGAAGTCGTGACCGATGAGACAAACTTGGTGGCCATGCGGGAAGATACTCAACGATGATATTGGGTGATGGTCACGCTATATCGTGAACTGACAGGAGTTGGAAATATGAATCATCGGATTCCGACCCAGTGGCTCAGTGGTGATGTGCTGACCACGGAGCCTGAAGGTCTTGTGTTTGATCCCTGCGGGGTCATGGGTGTGCACTGCTGAGGAGTCCCATACTAGGACAAAACAGTTGTCTAGTGCTCCGAGGTTTCCAATGTCCCTCCAAATGATGTCGGTCCAACTTGAGAAATCTACTGGAATACCCTTTGCGAAGTCGAATATCGAGTACTATTTTGAACACTACATCTAAGACAGGATTATCAAATAAACAAAGTACGCAGTGAATATATGAGTACTTTATGATTAGAGAGCATGTTTTGCAAACAATCGGTTATGCTCAATGATAACGGGGTAGATAGGTATATAAACTCAGGTTAAAACTTTACATAACACTTGTTTTATAAACTCTAGTCAATGATACTACTTAGTCTTCTGGTGCTAGATATTAGGAGTCAGTCAGCAAGACAATAAAAGCTTCAACTCACACAACCCATAGCTCTCAGAACACGAAGACACTTATAGACTGCCTTGCCTATCTTAAGAAATGTATGTGGCAGACAGGACTTAGCGATTTTAAAGTACAACTCATGCTAACAACCTTGTGACGGTTTGTTTGGTAATCTCCAAAAACACTGTGTTAAAGAGTCAAAGATACCATTCAGCTGACCTAACAAAAGTTGGCTGAAGTGAGGATTTGAACACGCTAACCAATTAGTTAGTATACATAAAGTAACTTATCTCATGAAATTAAACCACTACTGCTGCATAACAACTTGTTAGTGTTAGTAAACTGGACTTACACTTTTTGATGGACGAACATTTAATTCATAAACTTCTTGAAGTCGATAACGCTGTTCATCAGTAAGTGAAGTACGCATACGTCGACTCATGAGACTGAATCGCGCACCACTACCTAATGATTGATAATTATGATCTAGATGATTCTGATTTGGCGGCCAATCATTTTTGCCACTCATCAACTCAATATTATCATCTTCATCACATTCATTTTGTTGACTAGATAAACAAATATTTGATGAAGACTGGTGGATTTGTTCATCACAACAACCACTTCTTTCGTTTTGATATGGTTGCCAATTTCGAGCTGATGACGATGAAGACGATAGTGTAGATGATGATAATGACTGATTGTTTATTTCAGCAGGATATACATTAGCAGATGCACGTGTATTCTGTTGATGATGTTCCTGATAATGATTATGTTGTTGTTTCGCAAGAAAATCTGAACGACAAATTGGCCGACAACTGACTGGATCAATAATATACGCTTCACCAGCTGCTATAGGTTGTTGACAAATGCTACATGTAAAACAGGAGACATGAAAAATCAGCTCTTGACTTGAAGAGGATAACGTAGGTGGATTAGGTGAGTTTCTCGATGTTGAGGTGGAGTGCTTCGCTCGCATAAATAATTCATGACTTCGCATTGGTTGTCGACAGTTGGTACACTTAGTTGCATAGAGGCTGAATAGAATTTTCAATAACAACAAGAAGTTTTATGTCTGAATATATGCAAAATAGGTGAAAGCGTTGAATCAACTCAATCATCTTAGTTGCTTTCACGTGAAATCATTTGGATAATATTATACTTAGCAATACTGTTGAACTAATAGGATTTCAAACATATTTTCCTTGATCTGAGTACTTAACCCACTATCCAATCATTGCAGTGAGATTAGTTGCTGGTTAGTTCATTTCTGTCTGATGATCTTATAGGTTACTCTTGTACAACCACAGCTCTTGCGCTGTGACACTAAAGCATACACTAGTATTGATAGACTCTATCTCCACATGAAATCGTTAAACGATAAGTAGGGAACTTTTAAACTGAGGAGATGATACCAACATGCGACCTGAATTTACTGGGTAACGGTCCATTTAGCAAAAACATATATCCGTACATCATGCAAAAATGCACCAAGGTGAAAGGACAAGAAATAAAGGAAAAATTAGTCAAAGTGGAAGAGAATCGTGAGAAGGGAGAGACGCGATAATCCTCAAACTCAGTAGAACGATAAAGATGATGTGTGGAAATATGCGACACTGAGATCGATTCTGAACTTTGTCATATACAGTCTTTAACCACTCATTCCTGTCATCATGCACACAACGATTCAGAAGTCTACATCACCCTATACGGATCACATCAACAATCAAATATTTCATCACCTGATGTCATGTTTTAGTCTCACCATTCCTAACCTTTCTACAATCTATAACTACTTCACCTAACACTGAGCAACGGAGTAGATAGTAACTAGGACTGTGTATCACATGACCCAGACACCTCAGTCAATCTAGGTTTACACTCTCATCAATTGAATCTCCTCATACGCCAGACCCCTACCTTACCAACTTGCTGACACGCGACAAACGGCCTACACTACGAAGGAAATGGTGGTCAAACATTTCAAGCCTTCTCATGTCCTCCACCAGTAATGGCCATGTTTAACACCCACAAAGTAGATAACAGAGAGGAGAGCAGCACCTCAACGTCAAGCGACGCTAAAAATAGTCTTGCAAAAATAGTTAACTATGTCCGGTCAACACCAAACATGCGTGTGTCTCAGAAGAAGCGGCAACCACTCACCAACCATCAACTGGTTTTATTCATGGACACCATTGACGTCAGTGGATGTCACGACAGAAAATCTCTGAAGTTTGAAATAAACAGAATTAGATGGTTGTCTGAACACAAATTTATCAGGTGATCACTGTCATTCGTTCGTCCTACTGGGATTCGGAAAGTCAGTTTACGCATTGATTTCACCCACTATGGCAATCATACATGAACGTTTGGTTTTCAGTAGAAGGCTAGACAGCTTTTGGTAGAACTAGCTTTACTTCATCCAAAATACAGTCACTGGGGGGCATAGCTGGAGAACAGCGGCGAGTTTTATTGTTTTTCAGTCGTCCTTGCATCATTCAGTCAAACAGCGCACAGGCAAATCTATGTTTGAAATTTTTATGGGAGTATTTAAAACATTGTTTAGCGACATGTGTCTTTCACTCAGTTGAACTGAAGTGCGACAGCTTGAGTTGATGCATCTTTTGAGGGATTTTAAGTTATGTCGTTTGCCTTTTTATCTAAGCAGATTTCAGAAATACAGACAAAACAAATGCAGAACCTAGCACTCAAGTTGCCACACTTCACTGTGGTATACAAAGAACAGGTAAATAGAAACAGTGATATCAAAGTACACAAAAGTATGTGAGAGAATATACAATCTGAAAATAACGGTTAGTGCAAATATGCAAACTTTAGAAGATGTCATGAAATGAATACGTCTGAGACATTGTGACCGATCTTCAGCCATACCAACCACTGATTTCCATAGTCTCTGGGAACATAGCTAAGCAGTCCACAACTCCCAACACAACTCAGATCAACAGTCAGGGACTTAATGGACTGGTGCCACATCTTGGTTTGACCATTCTAAATCCTCCCCCAACCTAATCTAACTTCCCCTAGCATGGCACGTCGAGGTAGGCAGTGGCTCAGCGTGGGCAACACATGTCCAAGCTACCCAAGACGATGAAGGTCCCTAACCTCACCAATCGATTTGCCTGTCTTGCCTAGTACCTTTTCCCTGACCTCAACATTGTTCACACGATAATTCCACCAGACGCGAGAAATGCGAAGACGTCTATGATCCAAACCCTGTATTCGCTTCATATTTTGCGCTTTCAACGGCCACGTCTCGCACGCGTATAAAAGGAAAGAACGGTATACTCGTTCTTCGATAGATAGTCGGATATCTCGCCATTCGCGCCACAGATGACGCAAGTTAGCAAGTGCTAAACGGGTCTTGTGTATCCCAGCTGAAATTTCGTCAGTTACCAGCCCGTTCAAGCTGATGTGACTCCCCAAGTGAAGTGGTCGGCACATTCCACCATTTTACTCTTTATCACTAAGCTGAGAGTGGTTGGGTACCAGTCGTGGGGCATTATCTCACAGCTGACAGATGCGAAACGTATGCCAAACATACTTAGGTTTCTGCTCAACGCGTTCAGAAGACCCTGCATTTTATCCGCATCTTCACCTAGTGGGAAAATATCATATGCATACTTCACGTCAACTGAATGATCTTCGAGGAGAAGATCAATTTCTCTGAGAAGAGAGCTGTGATTAGCGTTACATATTTGCTCAGCACTCCCTTCACATTCAAACACTGCCACATCTCACGGTAGACGGGGTCAAACGCCGCCTAAAGGTTAACAAATATGGGAAGTGTCGGCCGCCAGTAAGTATGGCTGTGTTCCAGAACCTGTCGTCCAGGTCGTAAACCTGCCCGGTTTTCTAGACTTTGCTCTTCTCGAGCTCAAATTAGGAGTCGGATAACTATGGATCCTAGGATCTTAGGCACTCATTTTTGTCACAGGAAGACTTTTCTTTCTTCTTACAGACTGTGATGATCAGTGAAGTAGATCAGTCTAACGACACTGCCACTGATTCCTATATACTAACTAATACCTCAGTCACTCTACCTAGGAAATTTTTCCTCCATCCTTGAAAACTTCGGGTGGCAAACTGTCAGGTACTGCTGCTTTGCGTCATTTCACGTTCGATACAGCTTTCTCAACTTTAAGCAGAGTTGAAGGACCGACGTCCACGTCCCATTCAGGTTTAGGCTGCATGTTCGGCAACTGAAGCGTTGTTGTGAGCCAAGTGAACTGGGCTTCAAAGTATTCTGTCGAACGTTCTGGTCACCTATCCTGGGAGGTAATCAGCATCCCATACGTTTTGGTGGTTTTACTCATTATCCTTTTCATTTTGTCGGTATCCTTAATAATTTCAAGTAGTTGCCGAGTGTTACCGAATGCTGATGCCTTTTCTATCTCTTTCGCTCCTGCTACTCACCACTGCTAATGATCATTGACAAGAGTCTGGGTCAATTTACGTTTAAGTTGCTTCCGCTCCTTATTGTGGCCAGAGCCCACTGGAATCAGTCTTCTCGTATCAGTCAGTTCGGATGACATTGAGGAAATCCAGTGACGTTTGATAACCTTCGGCTGTAGGTTACCAACTGTCTTTACCGAGGTTTCCACAGCAGACTTAATATCACGCCAAGTTTCCTCAGGATGAACATTTCTGTCACGTTTAGATAAATCCTTCGCTACTCTCCTCCTTAAATACATACTTGAGGTTCTTATTTTCCAATCGAACATACACAGGCTTTACTATAGACTGTTTCCTGAGACCAGTCGGACGCAGACATACACGAGTCCGTACTAACGCGTGATAGGAGTTCAAACAGGTACTCTAGAAAGAGGGATAATCCTCCACCGGTCCTCTTTAACGATGGCTTACAGTAACATGATCTAACTGTGCTCATTATTGTTTGATGTCGACGGACGCTATGTGTAACAATGCCTCTCCTTATGCTTAAACTTGGTACTAGGCAGAAACAAGTGATTGTCAGGACAAAATTGCAAGAGATGATCACCGTTGTCCAGTTGTTGGCATGGGATTCCGTAAATACCCCCAAGATGCCCTTTTGACTGGCTGGGATTCTTTAATTCCACTTTTAAGTCATCCAACCTGCAGTCGGTGGATGCGTATGCAGAAATTACAAATGAGCATCGGTTAGTCTTACGATCCTTCCAAGTTTCTACACATCTATTCAGTCAAACAGCACATAGATGGGTGTTGACTGGTATCCAGTCGAGAAGCCCACTTTCTGCCCTACAGCTCAATGCTATGCCTACACTAGCCACTCTGGATCCTCAAAAACTTTAGGTGAATTTAGAAGATTTACCGAATCGGTCAGGTGAGGTCAAGTGAATAACCATACTCGGGTTCTGCATACGATCCTTAGAGATAGCGTACATCAGTGGCTAGAGTTTCTTAAGTTTTGGAGATCGATACTTGCTGTACGATTTGGCATACAGTTCGGAGATTGAAAGCTCCGATATGAAATCGATGGCGGGATCCTAGAAGACCAGGAAAGAGGTTTCAATGGCTTTGATCATTCACAATGATCACAGAATGAGGTTAGGGAAGGTTTAAGGGATCTTATATTAGTATCAGGAGGTGAAGGTAAAGGAAGAGACCGAGTTGAGGAAGATCGGTTATGTTTGATTTCGTCTTTATATTACTGGACGCGTGTGGAGGATCGAAACTTCCCAGCTGCGTACACTGTGGAAGGTTATTTCTCCTAGGGGTACCTGAAAAAGATTTTTACAACCACAGAGGCTGAGGATATCTGCTTGATACCTGTCACATACAGCCTTTTGTCGGTTGGTGTTTTCAGGTTTTATTGTTCTAACGTTGAATAGGAAAACCCCATACAGCCGTAACAAGAAGATACTGGGGCAGGGAGGAATGTGCCATTTTGGGGCCGAATTTTTGTACCTCCGTTTCCCATTGGGAAGGCAGCATCCGCGTGGCGTCGCTAGTCATCCAAGGGGAACACTTTGTCGCTGTCAAACCCCATCCAGCTGGCAGCAGTACACCTTCGTTGTCAGACCCCATCATAATGTAGTAATTTACACTACAACGGTAACTGCTTTTCTTCTCACCACTATTTAACAAACCTTTCTGGAAGGGTAGGACCTAGAAAGAACAAGTGCTCCAGTCGGTTTAGCTGGTTGGGTCATTGTGATATGCAAGCCTGACCACTAGGTCAAGGTAGCAGCTACAGGTCGGCATATTTCACAACATAATATCAGTAAAATAAGTAAATAATAGGTAGACTAAAGCGAAAAAGGCTACAGCAACAACAGAATAACATAAATCCAAAGGTAATGAGTAGAGCATATTGACTGTAGTGATGAGATCTATGTTGGAACAACTTAATCTATCTTTATTAGCCTTTAATTTATGGGCTGCGTCTCAATGGACGTGAGAAAACTTTGGCAACAAAACCACCACCAGTGCTGCCGGACAACGAAAACACCAAAGCCGTGTTCAGTGAGAAGTTGGCTAGGAAGTTATCGGAACAGACTATCACTCATCCAGAGGAAGCTTGGTGGCATCTCCAGTCTGCTGTAAAAGCGGCGTTGAAGATGAGAGCCAACTCCGAAATAGTGGCTAAAAAGATCCTGTGGATATCAGCAGCTTCTTCCGATCTAATGGACACATACGAACTCATCCCTGCAGACTTTGAGTACAATGAAGTGCGAGCGCAACTTAAAAGTAGATTGAGAAAAAGTCTACGTAACGATCGCGAACAGTGGTGGGCAGCGAAGGCTAAAGAGATGGAAAAGATAGAGGCGACTGGTAACAGTAAACAGTTATTTAGACTTCTTAAGGAAACTGCGGGGGGAAAGGTGGACAATGGTTAGTGAAACCGCAGCGAAGGACGGGTCTGCGATTCACTTGCAGAGGAGACAACTGGAACGATGGGCAGAACACCCCGAGGAACAGTTTAACTGGCCTCCAACCACCATTGCGTTCCCCACTATCCAGTCGGATCCTGAATGGAACATTGAGATAGGCCACCCAACACTAGCAAAGTCAAGACAGCGGTAGGTAACCTGAAACGAGGAAGGGCGGCAGGACCAGACGGGCTAACTCCTGAGGTATACAAGGATGGTAGTAGAGTGGTCTTAGTCAGGTTAACGGAAGTGTTAACCAGTATATGGGAACCCAATACGATCCACTCTGGCTGGTCTAAATCACTGATTATTCCAGTCTTCAAGAAAGTCCTCTTGTGATAACCACAGAGGAATCAGACTGACGAACATAGTATCCAAGATCCTAGGTTCCATAATTCTTCGACGCCTGAGTGGGGCTCGGGACCAGGCAGGCTTTAGACTCGGCCGCAGGTGTATTGACTAAATATTCACACTACGCCATGTTTTGGAACACAGACGCTTACCGACACCTGACACTAGCTGTATTTCTCGATCTGAAGGCGGCATCCGACTCCGTTGACTAAGAAGTCGAATGGCAATATCTCTCACTGAAAGGCGTGCCGAGTAAGTACATCACCTTATTGAAGGCTCTCTACTCGAACACTTGTGGGCGTGCTATGGTGAGATGTCTGGAGAGCTGTGCTCGTCGGATGGTGTCGGTCAAGCGTGCCCACTGTCTCCATTCTTATTCAATTTTATCACAGATATTCTTATGGAGGTCTCCCCCTCGTCACCTGATTATACAGAGGTTGACGTAACCGCAGGAGAATTTTCGTTAAACCTAGAATATGCAGATGACATAGTCCTGTTAGGTGAAAACGCTGACATGATGCAGCCTTCTGAACACTTTCAGTGGCAATTCGAGAATGTTCGGGATGCGTTTCTCACCACCCAAATCCAAACTGTTACTCCAGGATTGGTCTTCAACGGTGCCACGGCTAACAATAGAGTGTAGTGATTGAGTGCGTCCACCACTTCACTTACCTGGAAAGTAGGATCAGGCCTGGTGGTTCAGGAACCGATGAAATCTCTGAACGGATACAAAAGGCTCGGCTGGCTTTCGCCAACTTACACCACCTATGGCGCCGCCGTGATATCCGATTGTCTATTAAGGGTCGCGTGTGCTGCACAGCAGTCCACTCTGTTTTACTGTATGGCTATGAAACATGGCCATTGAAGGTGGAAGACATGAGAAGGCTGCAAGTATTTGACCGCCGTTTCCTTCGTAGTATAGGCCATATTCCGTGGTGTCGCCGTGTGAGTAATGCAGAAATCAGGTGCAGTTTTAGGGAGAAGAGGTAAATCAGTTGATGAGGTTATGACCCTTCAACGACTGAAATGGTCGGGACACGTGTTACTTATGCCTGGTCGCCGACTGCCTCGTCACACAATGTTGGCCGAAGTAGGTCCAGGCTGCGAAAAGACCAAGGGTGGCCAGACTAAAACATGGCATCAATATATGAAGTCTCTGACTGTTTGTTTTAACCATGTGGGGCGATGAAGACTAGTCGGTTGGGGTCCGCGAGACAAGAGGAACCAGTGGTTGGAGACTCTAGGTGATCGCATGACTCAGAACCCATATCAGTGGCGCAGATGTATACACCCATTTTAACGACGCTGTACCGGATCTCACCATCTTTCCATTCTTCCTTTCTCTCTTTTTGTCCTATATATTTCTTTTGACTGAATCTTCTTATCTTCATTTTGCACCTCACTTCCTTTTTACTTGATGTAGTGGTATGAGATGTGGCAAGTTGGACCGTGAGGCAGTAATGCCTGGTCCTTTGTTGGTACTGATGATGATATTCGAGACGCTTTGACACATCAAAATGTGACTACGTCATTCAAACTGTATCGCGCAAACGCATCCTATTTTTCAAAAAATCTTTGAGCTAGACCAAAATATTGAGCTTATGCATGTCACTTGATGTGGTATGTAAATAATTCTGTCACTCATAAGCAGCAAAAATCAAAACTCTTGAAACACATATTTTGTTAGTTTTGCTGCTCTTCGATCTTGAATTTTCACGCAGAACTTTTAATACTACTCAAACAAAATGCTGAATAAAGCTCTGAACTGAAAAACTTGAAATCCTGATACAAATTACTTAGAAGTCTGTGACAAAACTTTCAACTGTACCGAAAATAAAACAAATGATCAACGGGTATGCAGAGTTGGGCAACATTTATGAACCGATTATAACAAGTTTATCAAGTAGAAAGCCCTCAAAGTGAACAACTGTTCTATAGAAAGCCAAGCCTTCTGAAACTCCCAAAGACGTTCAATCATGAAGGGTATTTCAAGCCTTCATAAATAACACAAGAAAATAACTGGTTGCTGGGTTGTTTAGGAAGTTTTTCTATCACTATTTACAGCACATTACTGAACTTTTCCTACGAGAAAGAGTTCTTGAAATCATATAAAGTTGTGCACGACAGTGACATCTATGAAAGTCTAACTTACCGATCATAGTCTCGACGACAGAGTAATTCATTTTTGTTAACAATAAAGCATACTTCTACAAGTTCTGCTGAACAGACTGAGCAAATGGCACATGATTCATGCCAAGTTAAACCATGAATACGATAAAGATATTGGTCTGAAATGCTACGTCTGCATCCAGTACACATCGGAAGGGGATCTTTGGATGGCGGATGTGAAACTAATGGGCTATGTGGCACATCAAGAGTGGATGAGACGTTTATTGAGTTGTAAGGAGTCGTTCGATAGCCAACGCTCTCTGTAACACAATCTGAACTATGATGTCTTAATAGACCGGAAAAGTACGGATTTGGATCTGCTAAGAAATAAAAGACGTATCGATTACAATAAAACATCAAGGTGATTAAACACATGCAAATAATTGAGTTTAGTCAGTAAGACAGCATTCGGTAACAATATTCACAAGAAACACCTTATAACAAATATTTCTTGAATATAATAATGCAATGTTTATTTTACGAGTCCAAAGTGGCGCATACTACTAGTATCAAAATCTTGCATCTACAAATGTTTGTTGGGTGAGATGCCTCAGTGGCCTAGGTAAACGGCTAACTGTATGGCTGTAGTTTTGAGCTCCCATTTATCTACATTGCTCAACAAACCGTTACAGCTACCTAATCCTCATATCAAGGAGAATTTGCGAAACAGTATAAAAGTCTACATCTGACTACCAAGTTACACAATCACTTTGGTTTCCAATTGTTCATTTGCAAAAGATGTGTTGCTGAAATACAAGGAAATATATCTCAAAAAACTTAGCTTTATTTCATAACTATGAGGCATCACCAAATTTTGAAAGTACACAAATTAACTTTTCTAGGACAAAAGTGTAAAGCCAATGAGAATGACAAGATCAATTACAGAGAGTAGTAATCAAGATTTTGAATACTGGATAGCTGGAAACAAACCGATTTCAACAGAGCATTTCTTCACCATCGATTAGACAGTGATTACTCAGCCATATCTGAGCAGTAGACACTAGTGAGATGTACACTAGACTTCTGATACATAAGCAATGTTTCTTACCAATATCAAAGGTGGAACTTCCATCGATGAATCCTAAGTTTAAGTTTTAGGATTTCAGTTTTAGATGCACTGTGACCATAAACGATGAAGATAAGTGATAGAGAATTACCTAATTACGATACCTTAATACGTCAGCCACTTTAACTGATAATCTGGAACCACTATATTTGAAAACATTTAGAAGATACGGATTAGAATGCACTTCAATCCAAGCCATATACAGCCTTCGAAAATACAATAAGAGATGGAGACTCTCAGTGACTATTAAGACTACGACTACAAAGCCAGCAACATTTGAGTCGTACGAAAACTTACATGGGCTAGAGTTTCCATGATAAAAAAGGTTTTCGGAATTCACACCGTTTACGTAGTCAAATAACCCCACTCCTTAATTTTGTCTTGGCAATAACGCTAATCACCAACCACATATAATTCATAAACACGGCATAGGCCTACCTGTTGAGTGAGCACTAATGAAACACGAAGCAGGGTTTGGAACCATAGCACTGACTGAAAATCAAATGTATAAGTCAATGAACCACAGCTTCACAAATGACAAATATTACTGTGAAGTGCTTTGCCATGAGTTATGAGACCGTTCTAGAGGAATTCAACGCGAATATAATTTAGCAACAGATAACAGTGTCACCAGTTTGAGTTATATAGAACCGATGATTTTAATTGTTTACCATTTACACAGAGTCTGTGGAATCACATAGTCCAAGACGTTTGCTAATGCCTACACTACTTGCTATTTGAAACTGTGGACAGAGCTCTAATGGTCTAGATGGTAGGTGTTTTTAATCGGTCTGTCTTTGAGAAAACGTGAGTTTCCCTCATTGTATTTACACTAGTCAACCAGTGAAAAGCTACATTCAAAATATGTTCAAAAACACTAACGGGTAACTTGGCAGTAGGTATATTGTGTCGGCTGGCTTTTACTGGTTGGAAAGGCAGGTGGATGACTCAATGTTGAGTGGCTGTTTATGATGCTTATGCTAAGGGGATGATTTAAACACCTGGAACTAACAGATTGAACCACCCAAATTCTGGCAAACCTACTTCGAAGTCTTGTTAACTAACAAAGGTTTTCTGTCACCTTATTTTCTCCCCAGACAGTTCCAGTGATTTAGAATTTTTCATAAAAGTTTTTTATTTATTATTGTAGTGTTTTATCAAATTGTGCATTTACCAAATACAACTGGCAGATAGATTTATCAGTTGGGACAGCACTGCACTAAACAGCTGTCTACTAGCCTGATAGTATACAAGATTCGTTTGAGTAGTAAGTCCAGTTCGTATAGCTAATGCGCTCACTATAACTCTGTTGAGTAAAAATTTAATCCCCAATTCCTTTATTGTGTCAGTAACACTTCAAAGGTCACAAAAAGAACAGCCTGCTTTCATTCAGCACCTATTGCATAACTGGATCAAGAACTGATTCACAAAACCAATAGCTGAGCATGGTGTTTTGACACATCAGGGTATCACTCAAATAAAAGTCAACCGCTAGATTTAATGCGATGTGCTAAAGTGATATGTATTCAAGTCAGGAATTATGGGTTGGCTACAAGTGTTTTGTGACTATCCCCGAAATCCAGAGGTCGTCAATAACACTGTATGTCAGCTTCGGACTCGCTATCCTGCTCTGTCGTATGGCGAAGTAATACCAACAATAAATAAGCAAGTTCGGAACTCAATATGAACAGAAATAATCTCATCAGAACTTTTCAGTAAACTGGAGAAAAAGAGACCATTGCACAGTACTATTTGCTGCTGTCAAACTCATCTTCTAAAACAATAGAAGTCAGTGCAACACTTAAGAAAGGGAATTCTTGCCGTAGTATAGAAGTTGTATTTCAATATTGTAAGATGTACTAGGCTTCAGGCCCCAAAAAGACTTGTGCTGGAAACGACTACATTCAAAACAGTATGGTTTCGAGTGTTAAAAATTTAAGTAAATAAAGTATTAACCCAAAAGTTATGGTAAACGTATGCCTGAGAACATACCATGATTTACGGGAGCTGGAACACCAAGGATAGACGACATTCTTCGAGATCAAAGTGCCCTCGTCACCTTGACGGATTTAAACGCATAACCATTTACATTGCTACCTTCGAGCTGCATAAGTAGTGAGGTGAGAACTCTTCATACTCTACAAATGTACCCTTCTGACTTATTATTCACCTTTTTAAGTTTTTCTTTACGTTATTCTCCCCATGTTGCAAATACTAATCCAATATCTTTTTACGAGCTTGAATCAAACAATTGATTTCTTCACGCTTGTTTCTAGGTCTTGCAGAACGGTTTTAGGTATTTAATGGATTCCGATGCAGTTGGTTGGCCCACTGACTCACTGTGGCTCCGGTACACTCAATGAGCGGCTGAGTGTTGATTAAATTTGTATGGTGGTTACATGATTCGTCCAAGGACTATAGTGCAGACAGGTCCTTCAAATTTTGTGTCACTAGGCTGTTGTTCGAACTGGTTGTAAGGAGAAGGTAGAAAAGGGAAAGGTGTCCGGCGAGAACGGGGGAAAGAATTGAGAAAGAGGAGTTGAAATAAAGCAGAATAAATGGCAAGGATTTACCTGGGGAGATCCAGGGGAGATAAGAAACTGAACAGTGATAAGGAAACCACAGTAAATATGGTGGAGTTACGGTGTTAGAGAGAAGAGTAGGAGCAGGTGAGATCATGGTAGGGTTGTTGGTAATAGAAATAGCGATGTAGCTAGTGGAGGTATGGTAAATGGAGGTGAGACGCTTAGGAAGTTCGTTATAATGGTAGCAGTATAAAAGAGATGGTATAAGGGTAACTGTGCTGGAATGCTGAGGAATCAAACAGTTGAGTTGGCTTAGTTAGCATCCCAACCGGTGAAGCGCGGGCCAAGTGCTGCTGTGTAGCTATTCCAGATTCTTTTGAGCTGCCGATAAATAGGGCAGTAACCAACACGGACGGTGATCCGTCCCAGTGACCACAAACCGAAGAGAGTTAAAACATGAATGGAAACAGGTTCTCCCCTCTTGACGAGTGGGCTTCTCCAAGTTTCCACCGAACCATGTACACCAAGTGGTCATCAAGGCATAAGCAGTTCCACTGGAGGTTAATTGCCGCCAAAAATGGCTCAGTGGCAATGTCTCCTGCTGCAGCAGTAGGGGTTCGTATCTCAGGTAGGACGCCAGTTCCCTCGAGGTTGCAGATACACCTATGCAAAGGGAAAACAGCTTAGACCCGAGGCTCCCTGCCGATTCTCCATGCCTAACCAACACCCCCACTTGGTTCGCCGCGACAATGAGCCTGTTCACCAAACTTCAAAGTATTCCATAGAATATGAACAGCACAGGAGTAGAAAACATAAAGTCGGCTAGCCTCCGGTGGCCAATCAATATGTGGCCCTATATACCGAGTGAAACGTTACTCCTCTTTTTTCGTCAGCGGGTACAATGCGTCGTGAGCCTCCTCCCACAGATGTGTTTGTGGATTACTTATTCCTTATTTAATTACTTCATACATCTGCTACGGATATCCTTGTGCAGAGTACAATCACCCATGTTCTTACTAACCCTCTATATGTTCCCAGCAGATCACCCACACCGTATGAACTTGAGACCAAATGGCCTAAACCAGAAGAAACAGTAGAAGAGTGTCTTTGATAATTGTTTGAGAGGTTGCGTCCTTCAACAGTTCCCAATTGAAATCCTGATCGAACAGTCCATCAAAATCACAATTTTCTGGGTTTTGTCTAATCTTTTCACCATCAGTTTTCCTTTCATTTTCAAGTAGTGGTCGATCACAAGCAGGTGACCTAGATTTGGAAATGTTTAAGTAAACGAGTGCATGGTCACCCCATCTAAGATGGCTCTGGACATTCAACCTGCATACGATAATGGACTGCTATGTGAGAACGTTGTTAAGTCGGGGTACCTTACTATGAAACCTGCGGCGATCACGCCGAGTGAGGTGTCCAGTCAAGCAATCTTCCCTTAATAATTCCCGAAATTCGCTTATGAGGGCGAATGGACTTGTGGTAGTTGTGAGCTGCGGAAAGTTAAAGTTGGCAATAACGAAGGAACAGGGATAGTTTGATTCTGTAGATGCTCTAGTAAATTGTGTGAGGTCCCTATCAAATGTTGAGGTGGCTCATGGAGGGTGGAACGAAACCCCGATCAAACAGGGACCACTGGGACATTAAATGCCACACCGCAGCACATCTTTAGTGCCGATACTGCTAGAAAAAACCTCATAGGCCCCCGATGAAGGACAAGTGCAACCAGTGATGTCTCCACCTGGTCTCTCTGTTTCATCCCTCCGAACTAGGGTGAGCTCTCCAGGAGGGACTTCATTCTTCTTCATGTCCTAACTGTGCTATTTTTCACAGATAGCCACAATTCTAAGGCGATCATGTTCAACAAATAACCTCACCTTAGGTACCCTAGAGCCCAAGCCGTGCAAACTGCCGCGATAGCAGCTACTGTAAGTTTGAAAACCTAGAGTCCCAACAGTAGGTTTTGTCAAGGTGATCGTGTAGTCAGCATTTGAAGGGTTGACGTTTTCAATACTCTCACCTATAGGAAAGTAGAAATGAGAGCGCCATGATCTTGAAATAAACGCTTGTCTTAGGGTCACCACAAGATTCAAGGTGACAGGTGATTGAATCTCCTTTTATTTCTCCCTCCTTCGCCATTTGTACCCTAAATCATATTGATATTCTCTTTGAGATTTGTCGAACCATGGCAACAGAGTTATGCTGATGGGAACTAAGTATTACTGGAAGCAACTTAGGAATATGAATATTAGACTGGTGAGGCGGCTTTTCAAAGCCGTGGGATGTTCCGGTTCGCACGTCAATTTGCAGTTTACCCAATGACTTTCTCGGTTGAATTTGGCAGCCTGAGTAACGTCCTTACATCAGTGAATCACACGTATGATGACCAAGCAGCATGTGCCTTTGAAGTGAACTCTATTGTTATTGTGAGTAGTTCCTTCACGGACCACGAGCCATCAGGCCCAAATCTAATTTCTGACACTCACTGCTTTACTGATCGATGACCTTCAAACACGGCGTTTTCGGACGGACAGGTATAATTTTAGAAGCTACAGGAAACCCTTGAAAGCCTTTGGGAAAAATTCGTTGAGAACCAAGGGCCTCAAGGTTGGGCAGCCAGAAGAGTACGAGTGATTCAGAATTCAGGTTGTAATCCATCTTTTTTATGTGACTCCCCGTAGATGTGTATCCCGCTCCCCATTCAGTTTTTGGGGCCGACTCACAGGAAGTGAGTTGCCGACTCCTTGAGTCACTTTTGGGATCGAACTAGGCTGGTAACGAGGTGGGGTGATTGCCTCGATCATATTTCGGAGGTACCGAAGTCGATATCCATATTTCCCAAATCCCCTTCCCACTGAATATTCAGTAAATTGTTTATTCCAGGTATTGGTGTCATGTAAGGTTGAGTGGGGCGCATAGCTAATCAGCTACATCTCTATTTATTCTCGTAACCTTACATTTCTTCCCCTTCTTAAGGAACTTATTACTTGTGGCGTTTGGGTTCTTTGCTGATGACAGAGCTTATAGGGCCCTGCTACTAGGGTAGCAGTCCGTAAGATTAATTTTTCCATGGGGAGTTGATTCTCCTGTACCTCCTTTTTGATCTCTGTCACTACAATTCCTGGGAATATTTTTGATATAACGCAACTTTCACCTAATGAAGTCAGCTTTTGTACAATCCGTGGGTGGACCCACGTCATACCAGCCCCTGACCCGTCCGGTTATTATTTTCGATCCTGCAACATACACACGAATACCAGTCACCACAAATTAGACTATTCATGAGTGCGTAGCTAGGACCCGCGTATCGGTGAGTTTGTTGTGAGCCTCCTAACCCATTGCCACGACACGTCATGCAGACGTCAAATGACATCGTTACCTGGCAGAGTCAGGCTTGTACACATCCATTTATGTTCAGGTAGATACTGAACCAAAGTACGGGGAATATTTCAGTTTTCGGTATCTCCTAAAAAATTCTACTGCCCCTTTTGAAGGCGTGCGGTGGCATTTGCCACTGACATTTGTAATCTTAACGGACTTGGCGAAGTAATGGCCTTCAATCAGGCGTTAACACTGTTTGGGACGTGGTCGCGCAACGGCGCCTTGCTCGTTCATGAACCTCAACCTACTTAGCTGACGCTTGCCGATTCAATAACAACAACTTTTACTCCTGAATATACAAGTATGAATAAGTTGCTATAAAAAGTGGTGCGAAGACAGAAATCTAAGTAATTTGGTCTGAACTCAGATAAGGATTCAAACGAACCAAGCTGGTGCTATCGAAACAAGCTCTACTGTACAGTTTTCCTAACTTTCATCAGTCACGTGCAGTCAAACATTACATTTCAACGATATCAAAACACGAATTGATGTGGTAAATCCATGACAGATTCGCGGTAAGTCTGTGGTACTATAAAACAGCAACGAACTATATCAAAAGTTCTGTGGTACGGCGTAAGTTCTAAACGAGAAAAAAGATTAACTATACAACAAAATAGGGTCAAAAGTCTGCCTAAAAGGACCGAATCAACCAATAAACTTTTCCGGTAGATGGCCAAAAGACGGGAAGCCACTTCACAGCGCGTCCTTGAGTTGGGCCGAAACAAGATGTCGGAAACAGTAAGACGGCACCGTGTTATCGGCAGTCCAGCATCTTACAATGGCAAAATGTGCCTTAATGATAGGTTTTAATCAAAACAAAGACAAGTGATGCATTAGGTCACAAAAGACGGGTTGGCGACTAACCAATATTGCACCGATCAGGAGTGAAAGACAGTATGCACAAACAAGGCCAAAATTTTCAAATAAATGCCAACACTGTCAAAGGGAGTGCTCGGGATAGAATTTCAAATCATGCATCTCGCTACATTATGAGCCTATCCGTGTCAGGGTCTGTGACTATACAACCTTTTTCGTTGCGTCAGCCTGCAACTGACACATCAATTGTATGTCTTTGTTGCGGGTAATCTCAATCCCTACCAATTCTGTCATTGGGGATATGGGTGCTTCATGTTCACAAACAAAAACAT